TATAAATGGCTACAGCAGGGCTGTCCAACTTCAAAGTGGCCAGGGCCTATAGACCATGATATCAGGAGGCCCCACCAGTGGGGGTCACAGGTCTCCAGGCCATATGCCACATGGACCCCCACCCTCTGTTGCACCGCATACCTGCACCCTACCTTACTACAATACACACCCACATGGAGGCCCTGCCTCGCCACTGCAATGACACTGCACAGATGCTTCCCTCACTGCTGCATCGTGTGCCTGCACAAATGTCCTAGTACTACACCACGTGCCCCAATCCCACCCTGAGCACCCAAACTGTGGTGCACCTTCTGGCACACCACCTCTGGAACAGACAGAATAAAGAAGCCATAGAGGGGAAGGGAGCCCAGAGAGTTGCAGCTGAGCAGTAGTCTGGAAGCCACAACGTAACCCCTTGTGGGCCGCATATAGCTCACAGGCTGCCATTTGTACAGCAGGACTGGGCTACAGGATCAAAGTTCATACTGAAAAGTTTGGAGAAGGTATTTATTCTTTCTCACAATGCAGAAAAAAGGGGAACACTTGGTGAAAATGAAAAAGTGAGAGATAAATATAATTTTTTTACAAAAGCTTTGGGAGCCATACATGAGTAGTATGAAGTAATTATTAGGCAAAATATTGATTGGGTTTTTTACTGCTTTGGGATCTGCCTTGCAAGCACAGAATTAAGGTTGATCCAATACAGATTTCAGATCTGACCAATGGCTTGTGTTGGTTGTATCAGAGTAGGTGCAAGAAACCATTATGGAAAAAAGCTTTTCCCTAAGCCCAGTTAGATATTGATTGTCCTGTGTCTGAAAGCATACAGTTTTATGTTCCTTTCTTTTATAAAAGGTATTGATCAAATCTGATTGTAATCATAGATCTTCCCATTGTACAGTAAATGTCTAACACTTCCAGGAATTCTAATGATCTCCTAGTTTGGTAGGTATCTTGCAGCAGTGAGTTCCATAAGCTTCTTATGTATGAACTTTACAGTGGTGAGATATAACAAACGTGCAGGATTCCATTCCTTGCTTACTATGGAGTTTCTTATACCTGGTTCTGAAAGTATGGCCACTGATAAAATATTGGATCATTTTCTCATTAGTATATAAGTTACTTAGGAGTGTTATTCTAGCTTAATTTGTTTTTACATGGTGTTCCAGTCCTTTAACATAGTAATTAAAATTAATATTTTGTTTTTATAGACCACTTTTCTTCAGAGATCTCAAAGCACTATTCATGTCCCCTAGCACATGTCCCCTGTGCACATTTAGCACATTGCTCCTAATTGTGCCAGGGCAGGTTACTAGGAGAAGCGGGCTGCACTATGCTAAAGGATGGGCTGGGTGGAGACTGTGCTTTGTGATACAAACAGTCCTCAAACAACATGTAGGTCATGCAGCTACCTGGCACCATGCCTAAATGGGAAGTCTTATTCTTCACATCTTTCTTAATATAACAGCTACATGGCATTACATTTGTGTACAGGATACAAGAAAACTTAACACAGAGGGTGGATGAGCAGGCTAGCCTCCAAGAAGACCATGTTTTTGCTACACCCCAAACTGATTGTGTTCACAATGCAATACAGATTGTATGATTAAGGAGTTTTGTCCATACAATTCACTCCAGTGCGGAGAATCAACATAAGGACCATTTGCTGCACTTACACTTCAGTTTAAGCCAGTAAGGGTAATGCTCAGCTTCCATTCAAGGCCTTCACTGCTTAAGTCTTATCTCACTGGTTCAGGTAGGACTGAGGTGTTTCACAGGCCAGATACTACACCCTTGCACAGGGCTGAATTTTACTCATAATGCAAGTCTGAGCTGGAATTCAAGAGGTGCAGAGAGAACTGTGCAAGATCTGCATTCTCAAGCACTCATTGGCCTCCTGCATCTAACATCTTTTCTAATGTGCAGCACATGAAGAGCTGGAGCAAGGCTTGTTTCTCAGTTATTGTTTCAGGATTGCTGAAGAGGTGGGATACACATCCCCTCAGGGCACTCATCTGCACCTGTATTTCAAATACTTGTTTGCATACTTTCAAGAGCTGGACACTTCTGCCTGCAAGTGGCAGAGCCCTATGAGAACAGGCAGGCCTGTCAAGCACACAACTGCCAAGCAGGCATTTGGGCCCCATATGCATGGGATTTTGCACATAAGAGAGAGGCTGCCATTGAGAATTTACCCTTTCATCACTGTTCTGTGCAAATTCTGTACATGCAGAGTAACTCATCATCCTTTCTCATTTTTTTCTAGGGGTAAAGTAAAGGCCGTTAGTTTCCTGTTACCAGTGGACACGTCATCTTATGCTGAAAATCAAGGTTCTCTCAAATGCCCACAAAATCAGAGCACAAAACAGTTAAGCACCATTATTGAAAAGGATATCTGAGCTAGTGAATTTTTAAAGGCCCATTGATTCTTGAGATAAACTAGCTTTAAATGATAGCTGTGTGTCAGGTTCCATTTCTGCAAAGCGCTTTGGCAGGGTGCCTTCAGAGAATCACTGGGACTGTGTTTCAGGTCATTGCCCTGTTGTTTAGCAAGGAAATGGAAGCCATGACAAAACCTGTCAGAAGCCTATACACCCAGCTGAAACCTTATAGGAACACATATACCTCCACAGGCAACATTTTGGAAGATCGACCTCAAGGATCCCTTACCACAAGGATCATTTTAAATTGCATTTGATAAAGCTGTTTCTTGGTATGGTACTGGCACAAAAGGTGAAACCACACATTGCAGTCTGTTGTTGTTTATTGTTCCTGTTGCCACAAAAGTATTTGTTGCAAATCATAAAACTGAAACTGTTAAAAGAGCCTGCCTCAGAGTTTGTTTTCGTCCATGATACTACAAAACAATGTAACAAAATACAGCTGAGCTAATATAGGAAAAAAATTCTACTTATTAGTTTGAAATTTTATACAAACTCAGCACAACTATCAATTTCTATTAAGTGTTCACTTTCTATGAATATTCTAATGAATGAGTATACTTGCAGAAATGTTCACCAATACTGTAATTTTTTAACTCTCTACCAAGAGAATAGACACCAAGACAGTTTTTTAATAGGAAAACATGACTAAAAGCTTGTTTCTAAGTTATAGTCATCTAGCTGGAGATTAAAGACAAACTATGTGACCAGACAAAATAGCTGGAATTTTGAATGTCAGAGCCTTGCAATTAATAGCATGTGAACATGGTCTAATTCAAGAATTATTTGCTGAAGTGTTTCAAGTAATTTCAAATGCAAAAGAAGACAGGGGGAGGGGGAAAGAGAACTGAGGACAGCTAGTGAAAAAGGAAAATGGGAAAAAAAGTCCTGGAGTAAATTATTAATTGTGAACTATTCACCTAGATTTGAAGCAACAGACATTGTCACCAACATTATTGTTTAATTTAGCTATAAATATATTTATAGACTGCAAATATTAGACAAAGATTCCTGTTTCTCCATGCCCTATTCAGGAGTATGTATATTCTCAACCAGTGATTCTCAGCCAGGATGTCATGAGATCCTCCTAGAGTTGCTGTGCAATATTAACACGGTTATGTGTGCAAACAAAATTCACAAGATAAGTCCAGAGATTTCAACTAGGCATCCATTGTGCCAGAATAGTCTGACCTGTTGTGGGAATTCTGAGTTCTTTGCAACAGGAGAATTATTCCATTATTTTTCTGTAGACAAACAAGTCAAAGTTTAACGACTAGCATTTTCTGAGGGATCCTGTTAATCTGTCAAGGGGTACCTTGATCCTAAAAAACGTTGAGAACCACTGTCCTAAACTGTAAGCATGAACACTAAATGTTTACACAGATTTACAGACAATTTATTCTTGATGACTTCACTTAAACAACCTACTTATCTGAATATTTCAAGACATTACTGAAAAGACATTCCATTTTATCAGTTTACATTGACCTAAACATGCCCTTCCAAAAATGTTTTTATCACTATTTTTCAAAATGAAAATTTAAAATGCTTAGTTTGTTCAAGGAAAAAAAAAAATACCTTTATAGTCTCATGGAGGACATAATAGTTATACAACCTCACTGCTAATGGTCTGCATTTTTGGAGTCATTGACAAATCTGACTAAATATACCAGTGTTCATGAAGTATTTGCGTCACTGTGTTATTCTCAGCTTTAACTAAAAGTATATGTATTAAGTACGGGTAAAATTTTCATATGCACCAAAGTCCATTAAGTGAAGGAATTTTTTGCTCCATTTTTAGTCAGAGAATGTGTTTAGTTCATGTCATGATGGAATTGTGCAAAATATTTAGCTAGTTTAGGAGCACAAGTCTACACTGACTTCCAGTAGTAATTTGTGCTTGTGAAAAATGTAAGTGCTTGTGAAAAACCATGCCTTACATACACTGAAAATTTTATGAATGAAAAAGTAAAAACTAAAGTATTTGGTTGCTGTATTTGGTCACATTTGTAGTGTTAGGAACACATGAGGATACACAGCCATAATGAAGATACACAGCCATAATATGTATTTAGAAACCATAAGAGCTGTACAAATACCTAGAGGAGAGATGGAATAAGAATGTTTGTGTACACATACAAAATGAAGGAATTCACCATGTACTTTAAAAATATAGTATGAAATATGTCTTAATGGAATAAATTGTGGGAAAGTTCTCAAAATTGTCATACTTATTACTAGCATTGAAATATAGCCTAGATGTTAAATATTTTATGGTCTCAGTTGAAAATGGCCTAGGTTGTAGGACATTTGCCTCTCTGACTACTGGTATAGAAAGATTTTTTTCAGATTGGAATGGCTTCACTCAGAAAAAACACCTGGTAATCCTCAATTGCTTGAGCATTAATTCCTTTTCAGTTCAGGACCCACAACCTCCTTATTCCATTTGCTCCTGGAGATGAATCTTATTCTTGACCATTATAACGAGCAACAACTTGTCCTACAGGTGACTGACAGCTTCCTAGAGTGTCTCCTTGGTGGGCACCAGCCACAGTGAGAGAAACCTTGTCCTGCCCTGTTTTATTAACTGCTGGTGTTTCAGACCGTACCATCTTTCTCAGGCATCTCTTTTCTATTCATGCCTTGTGAAGTCTTCCCATTTCCTCTTTCTTGCTTACTTTCTGATAATGGTTGTGACTTCCCTTTCCTTCTCTCCTGCCAGCTCAGTGTTCTGCTCCTCCAAGTGCCTGCTTCTCTCTCCACTTCTTACCAAAGGGATCCCTATGGGATCTCTTGCTCTCCTGTTCTGGTATCAGTATAGATGCCTGAAGAGAAACTTATTCCTCATGGCTGCTGCAGACAACTGTATACAAAAATAGTATCAGTGCTAGCTATCCAGTACCCAGCAGAAAGAAAAAAATTAAATCCTGTCCAAATTGGGATAAATGGCAAGTATACTGTTCTACCAGGTGTGACCATTCAAGAGGAACAAATTTAATCTGTTGTCTCATATGGTAGATAAGTGTTTTCAAGGCTGATCCTCTTCTTACATCAGTGGAACACCGTGCTCTTATTCATGTTCCTTTGGATTTACACCAGCGTTCATGAGACAAGAATCAATCCCTATGCTCTTTGAGGTAATTTTTTGTTTTTATAAAACTATGATCATCCTTTGTCCATGGTCAGTGCGTACAGTTGAGATCTACCTGCAGCAAAATGGGGAGCTAATAGTGAGATTTAGTTTGGACAGTACATATCGTAGCATGCCACCAAACATTAAAACCTCGATGCCCAATTTCACGGAGGCAAAACCTTAATCCATGTTGAACCTGTAGCAGATTTGGTTAATTGTAAATCAAATTTCCTCTGGGTGTTGTACATTCTAGGATGGCTACAGTGGAATGAAAAGACAGTTCAACCATGGAGCATCTTATTTACAATATATGTGCTCAGTTTCTTTATTCCTGCACTACAAATCCTTTTTGGCAGCTGAACATCTATTTCCATCTATTGCTTTCAGTCAACTAGGGATTAAAGATATGTTAGAATTGGGGTAAGTAATCTACAGAGCCTGACTATCAGCACTGGATAAATTAAAAGGAAGAGCCAATTCCCTGGAACAATGTCATGGCTCTTCTTTAGGTTCCAGCTCTTTATTTTTTCCAGTTGAGGCAGGAAGGTAAGAACCTAGTTAAAATCCATTTTCAGGGTGTAAGTGGTGAATATACTGACATGCCGAACAGGGTGAATATGACCTTAAATGAGTTAACACTGAGTGCATGCATGCATGTGTGTGTGCATGAATGTTTCCCTGATAAAAGCTTCTAAGTACAGCATGAATGCAGGTGCAAAAGTTGTAATAGGAGTTTCAGAACAGCAGCCTATAGCTATAGCATCTGGATGTCATCTCATGTGCAAATGCAAATTTTATTTTATGTAAATACCAAAAAAGTTGTGTACAATGCCATTGTTTTCGTTGCAAGCTCTAAGAAATGTATTTTTTTTCCTAGAAACTCTGTACTAATATACGAAATCAGTACTTGTGTTAGCAAAATATAGTAGAGCAAAACATCCTTTCCCATTTAACTTCTAAAGTCAGGATTTTAAAGTACATTGCAAAAATTGGATCGGACATTTCTGATCTCTGGTTCTTCAGTTGCTGGTTTGAATCTTTCTTGGTTAAGAAGAGAAGGATGATCACTTGACTGCTGTTCACCATGGAGATTTCTACAGCTTTTGGAACCATATGTTTTGCCTGCAAGGAAATTACTTTCTCTTTGTTAATGGCAATAGATGTATCAGCCTGTCAGTAGTTAGTGTTAGTTTACTGATTATGTAGGAAGAAGCTATAGGTAAAAGGATAATCCTTAAAAAATGGGACTGGATGAGGTGGGACGGGAAGGGAAGTCCTTCCTGATCCTGAGTGACAATTTATATAGCCAATAAGATCTTTTCCCCTCAGTCCTGGTTCTATAAAGGCTTCATCCCATCACAACAAATAATAGAAATTGCTGCTATGAAGCAGGGTCATATTACTGCTGTCTACCTAAAGGTTTGACAGTGTAACAGTACTGGCAACATTTACCAGGAGGACCTTGGTTGGATAATTAATTTTAGCTTTTTTTAGCCTTAGGCCACACCTGCAGTATTACAAAGAAAATGAATGTGTTCAGCCTCAAGCAGGATGAGTAGCCTAACCAGTCATGATGTGAGTAATCTTTGTGATATCATACATCTATACTTAAGCAATGATTACTGCTAGGAGTAATATGATCTCTTTTCAGGATCATCTTAGATGCTTACTGTCTTCATTATCCTTTAATAGATTGTAACTCACAAATTACCTGTTACATCCATAATTCTAGCTTGGTTTCTTCCTTTGCAAGCACCTTGTACATCAGTAGGACCATCAACGTACTTCATTGCAATGGCTAGAGGCTGATCCTCACCTGAATTGGGCTGCATAGCTTAGGAAAGAGTGGGATGGTATAGTTAAGTAAATTGGATTTTATAAAAAGCAAGAAAAAACATCCTTTGTGTGTTGACTCTACCTTGCTGACACGCATTTTCTATCACTTCAGTCCTGGATTCCTGAAAGGATGGGATAGATTCAGGGCCAGAATCTGAATCTCTTATTGGCCTTCCCAAGATTTCATTCTCGGTTGCTGTCCTGTTTTTAATCAAGAAGTACGTATGCATTTTGCCCTTGCCCTTCACTTCTATTTCTCCTCTTTCCATTATTTCAAAATTCTTGTCCTTTAAGCATCTGAAACAGTGCAAGAAGTATGTTAAAATGGAGCATTTCTAGGGACTCTTAAAGCCCTTTTAACAGAGCAAAAACTATCCTTATCTTCTCAGCAGAATCAAATTTTCCTTGGCTTTGTAGGGTTCTGATTGTCTCTGAAGCATAAGTAAAATATACAGTAGTGACTGAGCTGGCTTCTCCAGCTATCCAATATTAAATGAGGCAAAAGAATGGACATGTGACAGTTTGAAAATTGCCAATGCCAAATGTGATTTGGACTAAATTGTTCTGTGTTAATCGAGTTTGAATATTTCCAATGGCAACTTCATTTGTTACACTCCAAATATAACCATGCAAGTTTGATTGAATAATGTTGAGTCTTTTATTTGAAAAAAGAAAAAGAGCAAAATCAGGGTAAAATCTTCATTGAAGTGATTCTTTAAACAAAAGCTGTAAACTATGCATGCTATCTAAGATCAGTGAAAATAACACTGAATAATGTAACTCAGTCAGTCAGTGCCAATCAGACCTTTTATGCTACAATCTATTGAGCTCAATAACAGATATAAGTGGGTGAAATGTTATGTTCTATGTCAGGAATCAGCAACCTTTTAGCAATGGGGTGTGAATTAACACAGCTTAATCTGACAGCTGGCCGCCACTTGCAACACAGCTGCTGCCACTGCTCCCACTAGCGGCCACTGATCTTTCCACTGCCAGTTGTCATCACCATTCTGGCTTGGCAGGCAGTGGGCTATAGGTTGCTGACCTCTGTTCTACGTTATGTAAAATTTCAGACTAGATTATCTAAATGTCCTTTCTCACCTTAGCATCTTGGCATCAATGTAGTCACATATGTTAAGGAAAAAGAGTAAAACATTTTTTAAAAATTGTAAACTCTAAAATCTGAATAATTTTTCTACATGCAGGATTTTATATTTTATCCCATCCTAATTGCATCATAATTTAGACAAAACTCTTTAAAACACCTATTACTGCATTAAATTTAAGTAAGCAAGTTACATAAGACAGTGACATCTTCCTCTGAAAGGGGCAAGCCTCTGAGGCAACATTTTACAACAAAGCTTTAAATAAAAAAGGGTCTGACTAGGTACTCACCGATAAGCACTGGTGCTAAGGTGAATTTTACTTGGAACCCCGTGACTCTCCATCCGGGAAGCTATGTTCACTGTATCTCCAAACAAACAATAACGAGGCATCTTTTCTCCAACTACCCCAGCCAGCACAGGGCCTGTATGGATCCCAACTCTAATCTTTACAAAGACAGAGAAGTCCCTCTATTATTTAAGGCATTTTTAAAATATAATGCTTCCATCTATCTATCAATCTTAGTATATAGTACAGTGCACTTCTGAAACACCAGACATCTAAAGTTTGAAAGAGCCAAACAAAATATTTTCTAAACACATGACTACATGGGATTTGCCCAAGGTCACAAAAGAATTGAACCTTGGGCCCAGCTCAGGACATTAACCCCCAAGGCCCTTTCCTCTGAAGAAGAAGAGATGAAAATCTATGGCAATGACTTACTTGGATAGGGTTGCCAGAAACTGGATTCTTAACTTCTTTAGCTGCTATTATCATTCCCAGGGAAAAGTTGGCAACTCGTTCTGCATGAGTAGATACAGGCACAGGGACACCTCCTACCACCATGTAGGCATCTCCTATAGTCTCCAC